TGCACATTATTTAGAAGAATTATGGTAAATACCGGAAGAAATATGTAGCATGGAAAGTAATTCTTCCTGAATTGGGGGAATCCTAGGTGGGAAAAAGTTGACCAGGGTCTGCTGCTTTTCATTACAACTTGCTCTGTTTGGTTTTTAACACTATATATTACTTTGATATAAATGAAAAACACATTAGAAAAAGCAGTATCTGTCAGAACTGTGTCTTTCACATGCAAAAACCAGTCTAGCTGCAAATCAACAGGCAAGACTGGCTAAAATACACAGTCAATCTCATTTAAGAATTAGAAACTCAGGACTCATTTGGAAATAGTTTTCTAACAGTGAATTTGTTTAAATTACAATTCAAATGAAAATTTCAATTGATATTTTAATAACTTCTAAAATCTTTTATTCATTTTTTCTAATGTATCCAAAAATCTCAGCTTAAAGCTTTTACAGCAACCACTCTTTGCAGAGGGGTGATCCTGTGTGTATACACCTTACTACACACAGATGTTGGGGTCCTTCAGACATGCCTTTACCTCCAGGCTTTGCCTGTCTATGGGGAACTCTTCCTTTGGTGAATTTACACAGCACTAATCATTCATTCATTCACTCAACCAGTATCATTAAACACCTACTATGCACTAGACACTGATTCGGCATTTAGTTATAAAACCCCACTGATTTCTGTTTTATATGCATAACTAACCAGCTGGAAAAGCTTAACCAATGAACATGAAGTTGGCTGTAACCTCTTCACTTGGGGTCTGGATCTTCCCCTTCTTTCCATTTCCTGCAAGGCTGAACACGGTGTGGACCCCACATGACCTTGTGTGTCAGAAGCATAGCTCCTCTTTCTGTGAACAGTCATAGCTTTACTGACTGGGCCAGAAATGCTTTGATGGCAGAAACCCCATTTTGGCCAACCTATCTGGCTGGTTCACAGGTTTGGCATCCTGTAGGAACTCGATAATTATTTTCTTAATGAACAGTATCTTCCTGAGCATTTTCTGAGTGAGTAAATAAGTAAACAAGTGAATGCCAATAATGAACTTACTCTTTATCTCAATTCCTTTCAACCCCATTAAAACCCACTTTTATGGCAAGACTATGGTCATCAAGTCAGATCATTTCAACTTTTCTCAAATTCCCAAGAGCCAAAAATGATAATATTATGGAAATTACTTCTTGGAGGACTATGTGAAAACGTGACCCAAATCCCTTATTTCCTTTCAAAATAACATAATTCCTTTGGAAAGTTCTTAGATAAAATCAATTTTCACAAAGCGCCAACTTCTCACTCTTGTACAACAGGAGCCAGTCAGTGAAGTCATTTGTCTAGAATCATCATCATCATTCAGGATAGTAGACTTGCTTTATTTTCTAAAAATCCAATGTTCCTTAAACATTAAGTCTCAAAAGTTGCTTACTTGTCTAATAGGATGCCCTTTGTAGAAGTGTCTACTTGGTTATTTCCAGCATGATTTGCTTAGCTTGGTGGGGAATACAGATCAACAGAAAACACAACCTCACGCACACCCATTATCCTAACTCAGTTACACCCACATCACCACCATGGTTCATCTGACTGCTGACTTGTGTCACGATACAATTATATTCTTACAGCTCAAATTCTGGTGAAACACCTTTTTGGTGCTAAGATGGGATAAGATTTACTTGAATTCATCTCCAAAATAAAGAACTGAATTGGCTAAAGAAGAAAGATATTTCCGCTGACACTGTTTTGAGTTGTAACACAGTTCCATTTTAGCATAGTCTCCATTTTATATCAAAATTAATTTTGTATCGCCAAGCAATTTTCCATATCAAGTAAAATGGCATATCAGAGGTATGCAGATAGGAAAGTAAACCAAAAGAAAGTATATGCCCTGAGTTTAAAGTTTGTCGTGGCAAACGGAGGGCCAATGATATTTAAATTAAGTGCAAGCACTGGCTGGGGCGGGGGGCGGGCAGCACAGGCAAGCAGATATGTCACCCACAGTCACTGCAGAGAATGTGACAGGCAGGGAGGTTCCGGGGAGCAGCTGGGAAGTTAGTCTGGCCCCAGTGGTCAGGAACGGACCTCTGGAGGGGCTGATTTTTGAACAGAGACCTGAAAGATGAGTCCCGCGGCCTGAGTCAAGTGAAGCTTGAGAAAACATATCCTGGGCACAGGGAAGAGCCAGGGGAAGACGGAGGGAAGACGTGGTGTGTTTGAGAAACCACAGAAATGCCCAGAATTTATGGTGGCGAGTCTGTTTCAAACCACGGGCCCTGTCGAGGCAGCACTAGCCCACGGCGTGTTAGACTCTCCAGGACCTAGGGCAGCGATGGGCCTCTTCGGGGAAACGACTGCAAAACAATCTGAGGGCTACATGCAAATGCACCTGGTCCACCCCCAGCACTGCGAGCAGCATCGACAGCAGAAGGAGTTCTTGACTAGAGAGAGTGGGATCACCTGGGTTCCGGTCACTCACCAGCCGCAAACTTGGTGGGACCCAGGTTACCATCCCTTGACTTCTCCGGGCGTCCGTTTCCGCCTATGTAAGGCTGGGGGACAGGGCCGTATAAACACTAAAGCAGACACAGCCAGCCCCAGCTGATCAGCAACACAGGCCACTGGCCCGATGTTAGGCTTGTCCTCAAGAAGCGGTGTCTACCAGGGGTCGTGGCGGGCTGCCACAGACCTGCCGACCCTGCTCTGCTCTTCCTTCTTTTCCAAAATATTCTGGGATCATATGAGAAAGAAGACCTGGCCTAGTTTTCACAGTAAAGGTGGATGATCGATCTGACTTTGCTGTGCGTGGTTTCTTACTAGCAGAAGAAGACAAGTGAAAAACCTAAGAGGCAGAAGGCCAGGAAGAGGAGGCAAAGGAACTCAGGCCATGAGTGACACTGAAATGGGTGAGGGGGTCTTCAACAAGATCATACCAACACATTTGACGTGTTTGGATTTTCTTTCTGACGCACACAACTTTGAAATGCCATCTGTTTCTTAGGATGGGCTAATTTTTCAAATCTACTGCTCTTGGCTAGATTTCACAGGGTTTACAAACAGCTGATGGAAGCAAGTGAGAAACATTCCCTGAGCCTCTGCTCGAGCCCGTGGTACCAGGGGCCAGCTCCTCCCACCCATCTTGCAGGACAGAGAGGGACCCAGGGCTGCCCCTGCTCTCGCCCCACCAGGAGGGGAAGTCAAACACTCTCTTTTCTTGTTCCTGAATTTGTACTGAAAAGATCATTCAGATTTTAAAATATCTAAATGATTCTAATTTAGACTGAGTTTTGTTAGAGTCAGGGAAGAAAACAACCTCACATTTGAAACTGCGCACTCTTACCTTCAGTGTTGAATTCCACGCTCTGAACTGCCCCGGGCAGGCAAGCCCACGCCCGAGATGTCTTATTTTCCTCTCTCTTAATATGACAAGTTCCCTGCCCTCGCCCCAAGGCATCTAAGTTTCTAGGTAGGGGCACAGATACAGATGATCTAGACACACATATGCAGCTTCCTGAGTCAAAGCCTCTTATCTCAAATCTCCACCAACTGCTTACCCATGACACTCAAACAATTTTCCACGCAAAACTTCACCCAGTCTTTCAAAATGTTCAGAAAACAAAAGGCAAATGTGACCTGAACACTGAAAAACTCCTGCAGAAACCCGTCTCTTCTTCAGGTCACCCTACCTGCCCACGAGCAGACACCTGTCTGGATGGGCCTTTCTAAGTGGAAAATAAACTGGGCATTATCAACTCTGCCAGCTCTCAGCCTGTCTCCCTTCAGGTTTTATAATACCAGGAGTAATTTGCATTAAGTAGCACCCAAAATCAAGCGCAGCTTGATCCCCGGTGAGCCCCTGGGATGGCAGGTGGGAAGAGTAAGACTGAATTCCCTTCCGCCACTTTCTAGACCCCATGCTGGCGAGAGGTCCCGCAGGCTCTATTTCTCCTTTAAGCGATCCCATTTTCCTGCTTTGTTTCAAGTGAAGGCAGCTCCTTGTACCCACCCTGACATGTTCCTCAAAAAAAGCACTCTATTCTTGGCAGCGCCATAAATGATTCTTTTGCTTCTTTGTGCTTTTTATTTATTATTATTATTCCCCTACTTGTTTTCTTTCGTCATGCTAGTTTACTGAAGTTACGGATGACACACCTGGCTGGGTCCAGCGTGTTCCCAAGAGTTAGCAAACCTTGGTGCCACTCACGAACCCTCGCGCCTAGAGATGGAGATGACTAGGTAGCTGGTTTATTGACGGAGAAAGAACAGTAGGCTAGACGGTTCTGTGCAGAGCTAACACCATGAGCTAGTTTTATAAACCATAGCTACCAACTGTGACCGATGCGTCTGAAAATGGAAAATGAATCAATCCTTCTGCCATCTGCTCAATCACAGAGCATGGGGAGACCCAACAGAGAAATCTCTGAGTTGGTTTTTTTTTTAAGAAGCTGAAACACTGTCAGAATTACCCGGCTGTTATCTGATTGGTGGCCAGAGATGGCCCGGGGAATGGCTACGTTGGTCAAGTGTAGGTCTAGGTGTGGGTTTAGTTTGAGGTGAGCTCAACAAAATTCAAGGGCTCAGGGCTCAAAATTCAAAGGTCAGTCTCTGCTACACCCCCCTCCCGGTTTTGCGGCAGATGAAAGGGTGGTCAAGTGATGCTTTTCCTGGTCCCTGGTCAGCTGAAGCCGGAGCAGCATAACCTTTAGGTCTGAGTGATGTAAATTAATTTTTCCTCACCCATAATAATAACTGATTATTTTCATAAAACATACTTCTAATTCGCCCCACTTCAACTTCCTTGTTCTGGGGACAATACTGTATACTCCAAGGCACACACACGCTCATTTTTTAATTATAGTGAAATATACATAAAGTAGCACCTACCATTGTCACCACGTTTAAGTGTGCAGTTTGGTGGCATTAAGTGCATTTAGGTTGCCGTGCACACCCTCGGTTTAAAAGGCGCCTACTGCTACGTTACATTTGTCACGAGCGATATCTGACTCACCTGTCACTTCCCGCTGCTGATACTCTTTGTTTTTAAGGACGGGGTGTGAAATCCACATCCACGGGTGGTGCTTGCGGAGCTGGGGGAGCACGTAATGGGTTACAAATCCCACCGCGCCGGCCAGGGCGAACAGCACGATGCTGAGAAACGGCTGCAGCAAAAGAGGGGGAGATTCGTTATGCGGCTTGAAGGCTGGGGGGCTGGGGAGGGATGCCCGGGAACAGGACATAACACTCTGCTCCTTACCCTGCTCCTCTTAAAGGACAGATGGCCCAACTCAGGTTTTTTTTTTTTCTTTCTTTTTTGTTTTTTTGTTTTTGAGTGGGGGTACTGGGGATTGAACCCAGGACCTCACTCATGCTAAGCACGCGCTCCACTACTGAGCTATATATCCTATGCCCACCAAACTCAGTTCTTGTTTCAGGCCTCTGAAAATTTCTTGCACATCACATGAAACTGATCTCTGTGTTGAGTTACCACCAGGATGGGGTGGAGAAGAGGCTGAGACATTCTGCCCATCGAAACCCTTCTTCTTGTTTATTTTTCTTAAAAGAAGAGTCCATTTCGCTAACAGACTTGTCCTCATTGAAAGCAAAGGAAGGCAGCAACTCTCTGTAAGAACCCTGAGCTCTCTACTTTCATTTTTCCAGCTGAAAATTCTGTTCCAATCATCGTCTTGGCTCTCAGACCTCCGTCTCGCTTGGAGAAGTGCACCGTGAGCCTGTCTTCTCGCTGCTGACCGTCCTCAAGGCAGATTCCACGAGATGTGCTCTTATTCTTGCAAACAAAACAACTCCTCACATGGGGAAACAGAACGGAGGAAACAACTGCACCAAATCTGTGACGTGGACCAAACCTCGTCTTGGACAAAACTCTTAACACACGTGGATATATTGCTTCAACCCCTCAACTGGCCTTTTCTGTTCTTCCTTTGGTCCCACTAGCCCGGGCTCTGTTACCCCTGAGAACGAGGTGGGGAGACTGCAAAGCCAAGCGGATACGTACTCGCAGGGACAGGAACACAGTGCTGGCGCTGACTGCAAACGACAGGACCGCAGCCACCGAGCAGATGAGCAGATCTGATTTCAAGACGTCCTTCTGGAAAGAGAAAACCACTGTAGACTTTGCTCTTCTGCGTTTCCCTTTATTCTGTGTCACCAGGGAAACCAGGTGACAGGATTTGACCCTGGAGACACTACACCTTCATCCCATCACTCACTTGATATCTTCCCAAAGGGACACACTGGACGGACCGTTCACTACCTCCTGCTTGGGGAGTATCAAGGAAACTGGGGAAAGAGGAGGGGGAAGCAGAGATGCCGAGGGCAAGAAGAAAGGTTTTCTGTACATGCAAGAGGCATTAAGGGTCTTCTCTGCAAACCCAGATCAGCTGCAAGATGCCCGTGTCTGATAAACAAGGATGAAGCACTAATAATCTAGAGTTGGCTCCAGCATAGCTTGCATTTTAACGTGCACACAGCCTGGGGAGGCCAAACAGAGGCCTCTCACACATTTATTTGGCCCAGGAAAGATTTTCCATTTTAACTTACCAGTCAAACTGGGTAAAGGCCATTTCCAAATAATTTAAATATCTAGGTATCACGCACACATACACAGGAAATGAAATGTCGGTAACTTGCTAAGCATTTTCCATCACACAGAATTGTGGTGTGAGCAGGCATCAGGGCAAACAAAGAAAGTTAGACCAAAGAATGTTACTAACACTGCAGGTACGTGGAGAATGGCCTGTTAGCACTGTTAGGGTACAGTACCACTGACTCATAGAGCTAAAGGGGACATTAAGGGACCATCAGAGTTTTTCTTTCTGCAGAGGCCAGCTAGCTGCAGTACACCAACATGCCATACAGACACGAACAGTTTAAGGTATCACTCTGTTACCTGAAAACTCTGAACTCATCAATGTAAATATTATCAATGTATCATCTCAAAAAGGATTTATGCCTCTTAAGTCATTGTTTTGAATGTTATCTGTCAGAAAATCATACAGAATACACACCTTTTGTTTCCTTACATCCTCTCTCTTTTTCTTTTTCTACAAGCTATATATCTGTTTACCTACATCCCCTCCCCACCTTTTTCTTTTCTTGTCTTTCTTAAATTAAAAGGTGGAGCTTCTTGCAAGGCATGCTGCTGGCTTTCTGACTGAACTGACATCCAAAGTGACAGAAAGAAATCAGGAGGGCAACTTGAAAAATGATCAGAACCATCTGATGAAAAAGCAACAAGCCTTTGTTGGGGCAATCAATAATACAGTGAAGAGATACATTCTCAACATCAATGTATCAGTTACTGCAAAAGTTGTTTTGAATCTTCTATCTCAAAAGTTTACAATTCCCATAGGAGTATTGAATATGGGAGGGAAAGTGACAAACCAAAAACACCATTGGTTTTTAATTCTGAATCTATGAAAACATTTTAATAGTCAATACAGAAAAAAAATTTATTCTATATGTATTTTAGCACAATAGAGATCATCAGAAAAAAATTTGAGGTTCCAACCGCAGCCATGCAGTACTTAGACTGAGCAAAAGACCGAATCACATTAGGGATTTTTTAAAACATGATTTTTCTGAGACAATTGTACAATATTATGGGTTGACATCCCTCCGTTTGCATTTGACATTACACCACATCACAATCACACAGAAGGTTGCATTTTAAAAATATGTCTTCTGAAATCTTTTGATGTTCACATTTTTCTATCTTAAACGACTGTTTGCAACAGTTTCCACTTTGTGAAAACAGTTGAAACAATTGAACTTCCTGCTCAGTTATCTCCTCCCACTAGAGAGTGTGGACTTCAGGGCAAAGTCCTAGAAGTGGGGCCATGGGAACGCGCATTTCACATTTCCCAGACCAATTGCCAAACTACCATCCAGAGGTTACACAAATACCCACTGTTACCAGAAAGCAGCACAGCAAAATTCCCATTCCCCCACATGCTTGTTCACAGTGGGCTTTGTCCGCAGTTTTATCTTGCCAAACAAAAAGAGCCTAAGACCTTGGCACGCTATTAGGGATAAACCTTAGTGTTAAGCAGAAGGCAAGTTTGTGTGGCGACTCATTCTGTAAGAGGTCAGTGGGTTATTTTCATGTTTGGGTGACTTTTGTTCCCTCGAATAACCTTATCACAACGAGGACTCGGGGAATGAGTACCTGGGTAAGGAGGAACCCCTCCCTCCATCTGATAAGAGTTGTGAAAACCAAATCAGACAAGGTACATAAAATGACGGGCACCTTATGGGCACTCAGCCTAAGTTCCTCTTCTTCCTTTCAGCTCTGGGGCTAAGGCTGGGGACAAGACTGCGTAAGGAAGTCAGTCACAAAACCTGTGGTTTGAATCTATAAAATTTTTGTGATCAGAAGTTTTCTCAAAAATTTACTGTTAATAAACAGCAAAAATCCAGTTATCTCCCTTCATTCCAAACACTTAACAAAAGGCCACACCTTCCCAGAGGAAAGTCCTCTTAATTCCCTGCATCTTTAGGCTATGGAGACACGTTAAATTTTATCTCCTATTTTTCATTGACGTGATTTATGTCATTTAAAAATTGCTGAATGCTTCTCCAAAAGGAAGATATATTTTCCCCAAACATTCTAACTTAAAATTGTATCATATTTAATTGACCAATCATCCCTATTTAAAGGCAAAACAGTGGGCAACCAGGCCAAGTGCTGGGGTGGGGAGGGTTGCATTTCCAGGTTTCTTAAAGCAAGAGGATAAATGAGCTCAGGTTATTGTTAATTTTTTTCCACAGTTGGATGACATACAAGAAGTTCACTGACTTCTGTCAGTCATGAGTATCCCTTATAAATACAAACATTTATATAGCTTCTATTGATTAAAATGTTCTTTCCTCCCATTTCTTTTCTTTACTGTAATTTTAAACAGCCCTATTGAGATATAATTGATACATAAAAACCCTGCATGTGTATATGTGTGTATAGAAAAATATATGGTGTACAATTTGATGGGTTTTGACATATGCATAGCCCCATGAAACAATAATCATAATTAAGATAATTAGTATATTCATCATACCCTCCAAAATTTCCTCCCCTGCCTTTTCTAGTTTAATCTCCTTCCCTCCTCACTCTCCTCAGGCGAGCAATGTCTGGCTCCATCACAAGCCTGTTTTCATTTCCTAGAATATTATAAAATGGGATTGTAGACTATGGGTTTTTTTTTGGGGGGGGGGAGTCTGGCTTCTCTCACTCAGCATAATTATTCTAAGCTTAATCCATGTGTTGTCTGTATCAACATTCCACTCCTTTTCTTTGCTGTGTAATATTCCTTTGTATGGACATACCACAATGTATTAATCCATTCACCTGTGGATAGACATATGAGTTGTTCCCAGTTTGGGACTATTATAAATAAAACTACTATGAATATTCAAGGACATGTCTTGGGACATGTGCTTTCATTCATCTTGTGTCAAGACCTATTGATAGAATGAATGTTTGGATCCCATGGTGGTTTTAGCCTCAACACTTTAAGAAGCTGCCATGTAATCCTCCAAAGTTTCTGTAACCATTTCACATTCTCACTGACAGTCTGGAGGATTCCAGTTGCTTCATATCTTTGTCAGCACTTAGTGTAGCCAGTATTTTTCATTTTAGCCATCCCAGTGGCTGTGTAGTGCAGTGGTTCTCAACTGGGGACAATTTTACCTCCCATGGGACATTTGGCAATACCTGGGGACATTTTTCAGGTAATAAAAAGGAGTGATATGAGCATCTGATGGGTGGAGGCCAGGGACACAGCTAAAAATATCCTACAATGCAACAGGATAATACTTAACAACAGAGAATTATCAAGCACAGAGTGCCAATAGTGTGAGGTCAAGAAACCTTGATGTAGTGGTCTCTAATTATGGTTCTCATCTGCATTTCCCAATGGCTAATGATGTTGAGCATTTTTTAAGCACTTAATTTTTAAAATATCATTTACTATGGCATCAAAAATATGAAATATTCAGGGATAAATCTGATAAAAATATGTGAGACCTACATATGAAAAACTGCAAAAAATTGCTGAGAGGAACTAAAGAAATAAATGGAAAGATATACAATGTTCATGGATTTGAAGATTCAATATTGTTAAGGAGTCAATTCTTACCAAATTGATTTATACATTCAATTCAATATTAATCATCCTAACAGGACTTTTTTTTTAGTAAACTGGCAAGCTAATTCAAAAATGTATTTGGAAATGCAATGGATCTAGACTAGGTAAAACAACTTTGAAAAGGAAGAACAAAGTTGGATACAAAGTTCAATACCTGGCTTCAAAAATTGTATGTGCAAAGCTACTGTAATCAGGTATTGATGGTAATGGCACAAAATATACATGGAGATCAACTGAACAGAATAAAAGATCCAGAAACAGACCAACACATAACTAGTCAATTAATTTTAAACAAAGGCATCACAGTAAAATGACACCTTTCCCTGAAATAAGGTAAAGAAAAAATTTCTCAACAGATACTTTTGGAACAGTTGGATAGCCATCTAAAAGAAAACAAAACAACAACAAAAAACTCACTGATGCTTATCTCTCATCACATACAAAAATTAACTCAATGTGCATCATAAAGCTAATTTAAACTATCAAATTTCTCAAGGGAAAGATAAGAGGAAATCTTAGTGACCTTGGGTTTGGCAAAGCTTTCTTAAATAGGACACTAAACAGTAGAACTGTAAAAGAAAAAAAACCACAAACTGAACTTTATGAAAGTTGAAAACATTTGTTCTCCAAAAGACATTGTTCTAGAATGCAAAGGCAACCCAAAGACTGGGAAAAAACATTTGCAAAACATACATCCAACAAAGAACTTTTATCTATCATATATAAATATCTTTACAATACAATAATAAGTCAAACAACTCTTCTCTACCCCCATACCTAGCTGCACATGGGCAAAAGTTCTAAACAGGTTCACCAAAGGAGATGGCAAATGGTAATTACTGAGCTTTTTACTCTTGGTTCTAATTAATAAAACCAAAGACCATTCTCTTAACATTGGTGAAAATAATACCAGTAAAATTAAAAGGAAATGATTTCCTTTTTTCCT